TCTCCATCTGGCGGGCTTTCCACAAGTCTTTGAACTCTTGCAATGTATCCCAACCAATGATGGAGCGGCCACATCCGGAGTCCAATACTCCGAACCCAGGTGAACTCACAAGCAGCTGCTCTTCAGCAGTAGGTGAACATTTCTGTTGCTTCTCTCTCAACCACTGCAAGGATCGCCAAGAGGATGGCAGGATGTCGATCATGGCGATGAAGTGTTCTTCAACTACCATGGCTGCAGCTGATTCCTTGCCCTTGGACGACCCTTTTGAGGATGCTGACTTGTTCCAAGCGCCCTTGCCTGACTTGCACTCACGAGCCCAATGTCCGACAGCACCGCACTTGTTGCATTTGGTGCGACGCTTCAACTCCTCAATCTCGACTTTGAAGGAGCGACGAACATCTTGAGCTTGCTTGAAGCGGCGGGCACGCTGGAGTTGACCCATCTCTTTTCTCCTCTCCTTCCAAGACACAGCTAGGGCCTCGGCGACATCAGGTTCATCGAACAACTCATCAGGTTCTTCGGAGGCGACCTGATGCTCTGCTAAGAACTGTTCAAGTTCGTCGAACTCTTCATCAGCAGCGATGTCGTCCTCAGGAGGTAGGGAATCCTCGACCAGTGAAATACCTGCAGCGCGTCTCTTACCAACAACGAAGTCGGGGTAACAAGAGCGCATGGCGCGACCGATCTCTTCCCTCTTCAACACCCCCAACGATCGGGCGAGGACAACTGCCTTTTGCTCATCGCTCAAGCCAGATCGATGTAGGATCATCCAACCGCGAGCTTCCTCAGGAAAGTTGACGTTGACCTTGCGTTGACATCGATCAAACAGTTCAGTTGCTCGAGAAATCCAGGCCTTCAGCGATTCTCCCTCATGGGATTTGACGGCAAACACTTCCGTCAAAACTTCCGACATCTCGTCGGAAGCGTCTTTCTGAGGAAAACGCTGGTCCAGGCGTTCGAAGATGATCTTCTCGCCATCCTTCTTCTGATAACTGCTGGGGTCAAGGTGCTCTACACACTCCAATGCTTTGCCAGACAAAAGGGTGTACACGTAGGCGCCACGGGCATGTTCAGGAACCTTGTCAGCAATGGTGAGCAATTTGTTGCTCACCCACACCTTCCACCGCTTGTATTCTTTTGCATCTTCTAAATCTCCACTAAACGATCGAAGACCAGTGGAATCTGAAGTACTAGCAGCCGCGCTCATGCCGAATGATCCGGAGTAGAGTCCTATCTACCCGGAGCCCTGCTATTCAGGGCTCCGCTACCAATCTCAAAAACCTCGAAGTGGATCCTACCACCACATGTGGGCGCACCTATTTTCCATCCTGCGGAACTCGTGCCTAAAGGTGTTCCCTCGACGGCCGGCAAATGGACTGGTGCTCATGCCGAATGCGAATCAACATACATATATAAGAATGTGACAGAATGGTTTACCTTGGGACTGGGACACTGGATGAACATGCAGGTCGTGCTTTCGTTCCACGCAACGAGAAACTCCACTTGTCGGTTCGAACGCAAGGTTTCGGAAGATGGCAGATCTGAAGCATGGTTCGAGGTTTGGATTCAAGAGAGCCTTCCTTTGGTGTCAAAGGTTCGCCCATCAATGGACTTTTAGCTTCCGTGAAGGTACAAACAGCGTAACCAAGGTTGTTGCTGCCCTGTTGGCCTGCTTCTATGTTCGGCAAGCTGGAGCCAGAGCAAAGGCAGCCCAGACGATTGCAGAATGCATGGTGGAAGGCGCGGGTGCGGCGTAACTGTTTTAAGTGCGATTTGCAAAGGTAAACACGGCAGGAGTTTGGATGAGTCTAGCATGATCAGCCCCACCCCAGCCAACAGCCTGAGCAGGTGGCAGTGCGCGGGAGTATGTGCTGCACCGGATCGGTCAGTTATTCTGCAATTCCGTTGTCGCCTTCTTTGCCTGCTTTGTATGGGTCTTTTTACTGCACCTGTGCCAGAAGTTGGATGCATACCTGATATCATTAAATCGCAGGCCAGTGATTGGACGCCTTATTCTCCGGAGGTACCAAGGGGAGATTGTCGCCTCAAATAGGCCCGAGATGAAAGTGATTTGTGTGGCGTGGCAAACACAGGTGATAGGGGGTTCATCCTAGGCGCCCAGTGATTTGCTTTTGGACCGATGCCATTGATGCCACTCCACTCCTTAATTCAGATGGCTCCCGGAACGGCGCCCAGGTGCGCCTCGCCGTACGTGGCTGGGGGTCTTTGCTTCGACCTGGGCTGTGGGCCATGGCTACCGAAGGCCATGATTTCTGCGGCGAACATGGCGGCCACTGGGGGGCGCTTGGTAGGGCTCAAGGCGAGGGGGAACATGGGGGGGCTTGAGGGTGAAGAAGGGGGATGCTTGAGGAAGGGTGAGAGGAAGGGAGAACCCGCTTCTGAAAGACACATTCCAGGGTGTGTTTCCCTGGAATGCGCTGGGCGGGTAACTTCGCTTGTGTCCCATGTTCTAATTGAATGCCTGGGTACAATCATTCGTCATGCAGGAGCAGATGACACTGCACATAACACCGCTGGGAAGATGGTAGTAGCAAGTGCTCTATGTACTTGAGAGTGACCAGATTTCGGAATCCCTCCTAGAGGGACATATGGCCAAGTGAGGCGGGCACCAAGCCTTGGTTGCCAGCCTTGGTCCTTGAGAGCTTGCTGCTTGGCGTCAATCAAAATCAGCCGAGCTGAGGCCTTCCAGTCCTTTTGAAGTCTTCGCTTCGAAATGGGGGATCACTAAAGCCTGAAGGCCAGCCCTAGCCGCCCTAGCCCGCAGCACAAGAAAGGGCACATAGAAGGCCGGTTGGGGCCTCCAAGTGCTTGTGACATCTCGTGAACCCAGTTCTCGGGCCGTGGATCATCCCGGGGCAAACACACAGCACTCCTTAAGCGACCGACCGGATTGCCAAGGGTTGAAACATGTTGAGACATGCCTTCCAGCCAATTTTTTTGATCGATTAGGTAGCGCAAACAGCTTCTGCAAACAGCCGTGCGCTGTGGCTGTTCTCCAAGGATGCTGCTGTGCCTGGGGCTTTTCGTCCTTTTCGCTTGCATGGGTGCCCACCTTCCGGCTGTCTCCTTGCCCACCGCGGTGGCCAGGGGACTGACCATCTCAGCAGGCGGGCAGGGCGGCTTAGACAAAAAGCCACAGACTCGTTCTTTTGGGGATAGCTGGAAAAATGGACATGGACAAGAAATAGTCCCACCACGTCCCACCCCTATAGGTGGGTACTTGACAGAGCTACGAAGTGGTGACCCCACTTAGGCGCCACAAAAGCACCTCAAAAAGCATTGATTCTCCCAAGATCCCAGGTCTTACGGGCTGGAGCAACTTCCTCTTGATGCGGAATGATCACAGCGCCCAGCAGAGCTGCGGCCACAGCATCCTATTGCCCTGCCATGTGAGCACGGAAATCATGTGGTTGTCCATTCAAGTTGGTTCCTTGGCGATTTCGAGTGGCCGGAGGAGTGCTTAAATTAACTGTAGTGGTCAGCAATGGGTTCTCACAGCTGGAGAGACTCGGCGAGCAAAGCTACGGCACTCAGGATGGCCCTTTCGAGATCAAATGAATGGCTCAGGTTCTATTGCAGGAACCTCCTTTGCAGCATCTTTGTGAGATCGGCAGTCGGAGGCAGGGTTTGCACATGGCTGGGCTGAGGTCATTTTTCATTACGGCCGCATTGCATGCATAAATCTGAGAGCCACAAGATTGTGCCTGAACAGATTGTATGATGTATGCTTTATGTATGCTTATGGTATACTAATTATATACTATATACCTCATTCTGGCACAACAGAGGCATCAAGAGAGCTGAGAAGACAGTAGTGTCTCCTTAGTTGGAGGGATGAAGCAGTACTTCCTTGATGAAAGTCACGCCCCCCCCCTTAGGCCAAATGAGGCCAGACAGCACTATCAATATCAATCCAAGCCCAGTTCCTCGGCAGCGCAGGAGTCATGCCTGCACAGTGGACAGATGCACGCCTGTACAGGGGCGCTTGGCCTAACAAGCAGTACCAAGTCGGACCGGACATCGTTCCCTGCTCATCATCAAGCCAGTGCCCCGTTTTCTTTGGGGAGTCCCAATTGTGGGGCTTATGAAATGTGCGGGAAGGGTTTGCTGTTGCAAATTGACCTGCCAATACAATCAAAGCATTGGTTTGGCTCGAAAGCGCTAATGAGAGAGCTTGCGGCAAGCTTGTCCAAGTCGATGCTCCCATAGCGTCCAATCCCCATGTGATCTGGATATGGCTATATAGTGTGTTTCCTAGAGGAGCTGTGTTATTCTTGTGGCATTGGCAGCTGACAAGCCATCCCAAGTAGTTCAATCCTCCAGCCAAGAAGGGTGAAGCCCTAAGCGATGCAGATAAACTTCACAGCCCCACCTGCGAACAGGTTTTGACTTGTGCCACTTGTGCCAAATGTCAAGCTAAATGCGGTTGATTTGATGCTTTCACGTGGGGCCCAACATGTCCCGCAACTGTGAATGAGATTTTGCAGTGGGTTTTCAGGTGTACAGTGCTGCAAAGACCGTTTGATGCACGCTCGACACGGGAAAGGGGGGGATAAGGCAGGCAAGGGTGCTTTGGAGTTGCCCAATCAAGCAAGAATTGTTTCCATGTTTGTGCGAACTTATCCCCTTTAGTTCGTCAGAGCTGAAGCGCATCCGTTGGCCACCGTTGCTCTGGTACTTCTTTGACATTTTTGACAGACTCTTAGCACATCCGAAGAGCTTTAACTATATAGTTCTTACTATATATAACAGTAAACAAAACACCGGGGGGGGTGTCAGACTGTCAACACACAAGGTCTTTCATGTGAGGGTCAACGAGTGTCCCACAGAAAAACCACCCTGTTGAATCTAGGCCTAGGCAGTTCATTTGTTGCAGTGGTTGATTGAGAGTGTAGGCTGCTTTGCGTAGATCTTCAACCATTCTTCCAGTAAACACCGCTCGCTTTGCGGGTGCTCATGATTGCACGTCGATCTCGCAGGCGCAGCAGCCACCCTGAAAGCTCTCAAGATGTGAGCCTCGGGATGTAGCCAAGGTGGAGCTTGGACTTTGGCAGATCTGCCCCGTTGGTGCATGTTGGAGCCATTGATTTATACCCCCTCACAGAAAGATGGCACAAGTAAAAGTGCTCCATATGCTACTTTTTCCTGCGGAGCGGCATATGAAAGGGCTTCTGACCGTATAGATGGCACATTGTGAGGAGCCATCATATACACTCAGATGTGTTTTTTGTGTGTGCCATCATATATTATGCATTGAATTTGTGATATGAATCATGATGTATATAGGCATGACACACCGAGCCCATTGATGGCATGTGGGAGACATAGCAGGTTCAAATCAAAGAGGAATCAGAGGATATATAAGAGGGGTGGCGCAGGTGGGAGAGCTGGGATGATTGGAGCCGCTAAGATGGTGATAAAACGGGAGACTGTGAAGGGGGTAGTGACAAGAGAGAAAAGGAAAGAGGAAGAGAAAAGAAGGAGAGGGAAAGGATATTTCAGAGTTGGGGTGGGGCAGGTGGGAGAGCTGGGATGACTAAGATGGCACATGCCAGGTGATGAGAGGGGAGGCTGTCAGGGGGGAGGGGAGAAAACGAATGAAGAAGATATAGCAGGTTCAAATGCAAGAGGAACCAGAAGAGAGGAAAGAACAAGGCAAGGAAAAGAAATAGGACAGATATACATGAGAGGGACAGTAGAGGATAAGAGACAAAGGAAAGAGGAAAAAGAGGAAGAGACGCGCAGGAGAGGGGAAGGATAAATAAGAGGGGTGGGTCAGGTGGGAGAGCTGGGATGATTGGAGCCACTAAGATGGCACATGCCAGGTGATGAGAGGGGAGGCTGTCAGGGGGGAGGGGAGAAAACGAATGAAGAAGATATAGCAGGTTCAAATGAAAGAGGAACCAGAAGAGAGGAAAGAACAAGGCAAGGAAAAGAAATAGGACAGATATACAGGAAGAAAGAGGGACTGTAGAGGATAAGAGACAAAGGAAAGAGGAAGAGAAGCGCAGGAGAGGGGAAGTATATATAATAAGGGGGGCAGGTGAGAGCCGTGGGAAAAAGACCGTGCTGCTGCCTTTTTTGCAATTTTTGCTGTTTTTTTTTGATTTTCTTCGTTTTAACTACCGAGCTTTGATGTGCCATCAAACCGGTCGAAGGGATCAGGCGCTTTTTGTGCCTTTTTGCAACTTTTCCCCGATTTTTTTGATTTGGGACATTTTTTCCCCCTGGTTTGCCATCTTATCTCTCGAGTTTGGATGTGCCATCAATTGGTGAACCGGTATATGTGTGGAATACTCCATAATAGTCCCAACAAGTGCTTGTCATCCCATATGAGAAATTGGCACAGAGCTGTCATCTTGCCAAGCTTCTAGAGCAGGCCATTTTCCGGCCACAGAGTGCGTGAAAGTGACGTTTGTAATGCAGGCTGATGGTCACTGCGGAGATGTCTTTGATTTTGGCCGATCTCGTTTCGGTGTTGAGCAGGGATCTTCAGCTCCCTTTAGCAGAGGATCTTGAATGATTGAGGCAAGCAAACCCGCAAACCCGTAGTCTCCACGCAAAGTGTCCGTTCCTTCCCTTTTAAGATGCCAAGACCGGAGACCTCTGAGACAATAATTAGGACCGGACCAGCGACTTTCCAACTTATGGCTTATCAAAACCCACACCTAGGTCGACCTGTACCAGCCCAACAGCTAGAAATTCGTGGAATTCTGATAAAGGCAATTGTTCTCTGCACATTGCAGCCATGTCGGATTCCTCTTCTGATTCGAGCTCATCGTCATCGTCGGAAGAAGAAAAGAAAAAGAAAAAGAAGAAGGATAAGAAAAAGGACAAGAAGAAAAGCAAAAAGAAGGACAAAAAGAAGAAAAAGGACTGTCAGCCTGAGTCAGTAGGTTGGAAGCTCATGTGCCGCCTCTTTGCCACTTCTTTCGTATAGGACAAGAAGAAAGATAAAAAGGAGAAAAAGGATCCATACTCGAAAACTGCCCAAGAGAAGGCTCGTTTAGAGGCTCAACAGCGGCTGATGGGCATCGACACGAACAAGAAACAGAAGAAGAAGTCCAAGAAGAAGATCCTCCGTCTGCATTTGGAGATGTCTTCTCTTCACTGGTGGGCTTCGAAAGTCGGACATATAGCCCTCGGCCCTCGGCGTTCCAGGAATGTGGGAGTTTTGGGAAGCTGAAGTTCGAATGACTTGGGGCATTTTGGGGCTGCTCTAGAGTGTTGGGGTTTCGGATATCCTTATATACACTTATATATTTTTTGGGAAGTATTGCACATAGTCCAGAACCTCCATGTGGCAGCACACAACACCTGTTACCAGTCCAATATCTACCACCACCACCACCACCACTGCTACTACTGTACCACCACTCACTACCACTACTGCTGCTGCTGCTGCTGCTGCTCCCACTACCACTCCCACGCCCACTACCACTACCACTACTACGACTACGACGATGACCACGACGATAACGATTGCTACGACCAACCAGTGTCCTCGCTACGATCACCAAGTTTGACAGGAAGACTTCATCCAGTGAGAGCTCTTCAGAGAAGGTCCGAAAGATGCAGGCCTTAAAATCCAAACCGAACGCATTGTCGTAGGTGCTTTGGTGAACAGGTTTTAGCAGAATCAAGGTTTTAAATCAGCATCAGACTTTGTGATAAAGGTGGACGAAAAGGCAGACCGAAAGTATTGCGCACACACACACACTTGGTAGAGGTGAGGGTGTTTCATCTGGTTGCAACATGCTCATCATGATTATGTTAATGGATTCGCAGGTATCTTCAAAGCAAGACGGAAAGAACATAAGCGCGCAACAATGGAGCATAGTCACACAATACATTTGTAAGACTACATCAGCATTCGTCACTGACCTCATGGAGATATCATTGCAAATGATGGTTCTCTTCGTTCCCCCTCGGCTTCGGCCCGTGTGTTCACCGCGTGTTCACCCTTCATCTGCAGGACCGAATTGAAGACCAAACGATGCAGCGCGAGCAAGAACTGGCAGAGGCCGGGCCGAGCGGCCCATGCGAGTTCGAGGTATCCGGACGATGTTGAGGTGCGAACTGCAAACAAACATGGAGTGCCACCAGCATGCCCATCCATTTACTATATAATAGTTGATTCGTCTTTGATTGTTTTTTGTTTCATATTTTTGGCGGAGCCTGGCTTGGTGGAGGGCCTTGGCTGTTCTCAACCGATTGCGTTTCTGACTTCCCAGCGGTTCCCGCCTTTCTCGAGGAGGCCGAAAAAGCGGCGGAACCTGTGCCGGAGAAGTCCTGGGAGGAGCGTCGACAGAATCCTCCGGATATGAAATAACATTTGTGCAGTGGCTTCAGAGTAGATGGCGCACACCCCAAAAGGTGGTTTACTGTAATTGATTTTCATTGTATGGATCCCGATCTAAAGGACATCTTGGGGTTTGTGCCATCTGTATACTCTGAAACCGCAAGTGGGCCTCCTGAGTGCAAGATTATTCAAGAGGCCCTGTTGGGCCTTCTACCATCTGGCAAATCTTGGTGGGCCTTGATTTTTGTTCAGGCTCGTGGCATGAATTTCCTCGTGACTGGAAGGTTTGAAACGGATTTCTGGCCTTACAGATGGCACAGGCACAGCTTTGTCGGAAGCCCGATCAAGAAAGAGATGGTATGAGTTGTAGCGTTGAGTATCGTTGAGTGCACTGCACGGAGCCAGGAGATGACCTGGACTGAGAGAGCAGATCAAGCGGCCCAAAAAGCGGAATCAGAAGCTATTTGGAAAGGCAGTGTTGGACGCACGGATGGACCAGATTTCTGTGACTCTACAGATTCTAAAGATGTTCTAAAGATGCTGTGATGCTGGGTTACTTCCTTCCAAATCAGCAACATGAACCGAGGCCAGCCCAACAAATCCCCAACGACCCTTTCCTGATCCCACACCATTCGGCGCAGGCGCCACCAAGGCCCAGGCCCGCAGCCTGGGGGCTCGGGCCCGAGACAAGGTGATGCTGCAGGCAGTGGAGGCGAGGCCGGAGATCGAGCTTGGTGGGCACAGAAGATCAATGGTAAAGCTCGGCGGTTGTCGACATAAAAAGCTATAGGACCTGGTAATGACAGCATGGTTGGATGGTGCACAGTGGTGTCCCTGCAGAATATGCTTCTACGAGACTCTTTCACCATGATCTAGTTCTTTGGCATAGCCATAGGCATACACGCTTGAGAGCCATGGCCCAAACAATGCAAATGCGACAGAAGTAATTGGAAGTGGGTTGTGATGAGTTTTGAGAACCCCTCAAGTGTGGAGTTCCAGTGAGTTTTCAACATGCAGGATGTGCTGCCCAAAGCACATGGGTACACGCAGGCAGACAACCGAATACGCAACCATGTGGCAGGCGGTTCTGCACTGCGAGTCACTCGGTATTTTTTTTTAAACGCCAGGATGGCTTCGTGACGACTTTGCCACAGACTCTTGGCATGAACAGGCGGCAGTGGTGTGCTTTGTCTTGCCAATGGTTTGGTTTGATCCTTCATCTTGCAAGGGCACTTCCAAGATTCTCCTCCATCACTTCTATTCACTTCGTATGTTCTTGGGATTTCTTGGGTCCAAACGACCCCTTGAATGAACCTTTCAGACTTGTTGGGCCCAACGCTGCACAAACAGGAGGTGGCAAAAACACGCCAATTTCTGAAATCGTGTGAAATCCTATGCGCCTATGGAACCACTCCAAACATCACACGCCTCAGCCGTCCCATTGGACTTGCCCAGTGCTGGGCTGCGGAGTGTTCAACCATGTTCAACTCAGGAGGGCCAAGTTCAACGCTGCCACCGGGACGCTAATGAAAGGCTGATGAAAAGGGGGCACCGGGCAAGCCGAGAGATGGCATTGTCCCAAAGAGGGTGGCCTTTGCAGTTAAGCTGTGGATGAGATGTAGCAGAGGGCGGCCGGGTCCAATTCGGACTAGGCCGGGTAGCGGAGAAGAAACCCAAACGATGTGCTCATCGAGTAGCAGCAGCATGGAGAAATCAAGTCATCGTTTGTTTGGATGGAGATTTGGCATTGCTTGTGTAGGGGCATGTGGCGAGGCCAGCATAACAAGCTGGAGATCCTTGACCCTTTGTTGGTGATGTTCACGTTAGAGGCCTCAGTCGTGGTGACCTACAAGACATGGCCCTTTGTTTGGGGTTTGGACTTCAGCTGGTTTGGCTCAAAGACAGTGAGGCAAAAAAAGCAGGCTGCAGGAGTCTCGTGCTTCTGCTCTATTCGCACCGCCATGGCTGAGGAGTCGCCATTTGCGTCGTTTAGCTTGTGAATCTTGTGACAGCCTGTGGGAGGATTGTGTGGCAGATGCTGCAAGAGAGGCATTTTCGCTTTGCAAGAGATAATTACACACCGGTGTGAGGTTGACACACGGATCTAGAATCATGCCGATGACATCCGATGACACCACCTTGTCAAGATTTCTTGACCAGGACCTCCCCGACCGCATCGTGCGCAGGAGTACAAATCCCGCTTCCAGGCGGCTCTGGGCGAGCTCAACTTTGGGCAGCGCTGCCATAAGTTGGCCCAACTCGGCAAGGACAGCGGAGGGTTGGCCGTGGCATTGGGTGGGAGCAGCGATTGCTTTCCACCCCGCCTCGTTGGGCGTGTCTGTTTCAGCCCACCACGCCCCAAAGGCCATCACCTCCCCACCGTTTCAAAGCGGCGGCGGCGTTCGTAGCGGCGTGCGTGGAAGGTCTGAAGTGAAGTAGGTAGGGTGCTGGTGTGGCCGCCATGGCGCAGGAGATCAAGGCTGCCAAGCCGGCAGATCTGCAGGTGAGGAACGAAGATGGTTCTTCTGGAATGGAACATCCAACGGCCAACAGGGGTGAAGAAACAAATTGCATAAGGCATAACAAGGCAAGAAACAATAACATTGATTTCTGGCCTTTGGTCGGGGTGCTTTGAGCCATGCTTTGCAGGGTTTGGACATGTTTGGACCCACAGATTTTTGCCAGCTCCGGAGCCCCTTGATCGCCTGCAGGCCATTTTGGATGGCCTGGTGCCGGACTATGAGAACGACGCTGCCGGGGTGGCGGAGGTGATTGGCAGATGTCGAGAGATTCACATCACAAATCCACATGTTGCCAAGTCAACAGGGCAGAAATATAGGGGCGAGAGGTTTGGATTGAACATAGAAACATTATGAAACCCTATCAATAAAACATATAACTATAACTATATATATATAACTATATATATACAACAATTCGCACACGGTCTCTTCCTGCCACTGGGGTAGTAGTGATGATTCCATTGGCCCAATGAAAAACTATACTGAGTCTGAACATTGATGTGCGGTCAGAAGTGCAGGCATTCTCAGAGAAAGCGCGCCTGATCGTTGCCAAAGCTGCTGGATGTACAGGTGAGACTGCTACCGGCGGTAATTCAGTTCATCGGACCCATCGGAGCCAACCGCTGAAAACAAACAACCATGCTGGATTGGCTGGACAGTCCTCACTAAATCACATGGACCGGTTGACACGATAACTCCTTAAAACCTGCACCAGTTATTGCTTGCAGGATATGCCAAGAAGTTGCTGGATGCTCCTTCGAAGACTGTGGGTTTCTCTGCGGCCACTGGGGGCTTGTTGACACCAGAGGATGCGAGGACAGCCTTCCTCTCGAGCACCTTAGCTAGATGGGAGCGAGAGAAGAAGACTGAACAGTAGCTGAATTTTAATGCGTTTCCTTTTCTCAAGCTTCCAGTTCCAGTAGTTGTCCCTGCTGCAAGTTGTCCCTTAAGCTCGGACGGTGTTGGAGGTGACACAAGCCGCAAGATGAAGAAATTCCTTCTGCAGTGCGACAAGCTGGAGTCCGATAAAGAAGTGCTGGAGCACGCGTTTGAACTTTTTGGCGGGGCTCTTATTGGACCGTACGGCCTCTGGACATATTAATAGCTAGCTAGAAATATCTAGAATGACGTGCTTGTGGATGAGCATTCCTAAACTTTAGGCCGTAAATGGTTTCACCAGCTAAGTTCAAAGGACAACGAACTTCTTGAATTAATATCAATCAGACACCAGCACCAACTTTCTCTACAAACAACACCAGTGTTTTCAATGATGTGAGTCCAACATGCTAAAGGCGGGACCCGCGACTCGTCATTCTCCAAGTGTCCTCCGTCGCAATTCGCCACAGGCCAAAAAGACAAGGAGATGTTCTGGCCCCTGCTGGCACGTTCAAAGTCGGAGGCGTACGAGTCGGGGTCGTTGGCCTAAAAGATCTTACGACAGAACAGTGGGCACTCAAAAACCATCAAACACCCAATGAATATGAATGGAAGTAAATAGAACTGTGCTCTCATCGCCCCTTGCCGCGGTAGTTGGCTGGATTCCTCTTCTTGAGCTATGCCCATCGCTTGGGATCAGACATTCCCAAGTCCTGGTAGAAAGGAGTTGCTGGAGCAGTACTTGGAGGAGGATGCACCCATGCGTGAATGGCTCAGCGCCAACCACGACGACAAGGCGGCATATTTCAACTGAAAGGTGTGCACTCTGATATGTTTGTATGGTTCGAACCTCTTGATGCATATCACCACACCACACAAAAGAAAGCAGTGCGAAGATGGCCCAAGAACGCACTTTTCCCACTTGGGGGTTTGCCTTCCCATGGGTCACCGCATCTCAGCTTCCAGGTGCCAGGCCTGCCACAGTTGGCCCGACGCTTCCCAGCCTTCATGGTGAAGCTGGTGACGAACGGCACACTGAAGTGGCGCTGGTATTGGGTCACTGAAATCCTCGAGCAGGATCGAATGGGATGAATCGGATTCGGATGGGATGGTCGGTGAACCCGAAGCATTTCATGTACCAAAAGCTGGAAGACTGCAGATGGGGTAAAAGCGCCTTGGAGTGGAGCATCACTTGGCTGAGGTGAACCCGTAGATCATGATTATTCTGTCTCATGATGCAACTCGGAGATGCTCTCCTCCAACTCTGGCGCACCTGGCCCACCAGGATCCCATGCCCGTCTTGCGTGCGACGCTGGTGGAGAATCACATGCAGGGATCGGGGCCAAAGATGGGCTATTCGCCCACCAAGAGAAATCAGGAGCTTTGTGGAAAAGGATGGAGATCAGGGGTCCAAGTGTGTCGGGTGATGCAAGGTTCTGGCCTTGGAGCAGTTGACTGGCTCGCTTTGGGAAGCCTTCCTTGATAGAACCATTTTCTTTCGTTTAACATTGTGTGGAGGATGACGGTCGTGAGGCTGTTGGTGCTGCATGTTTTTCGACCTTTTTTTTTGTGGAACATGCGGTCAGACCGGCCTTGCTGGACCTGTAGGACTTCTACTCGACCTTGGCCCATTGGGGTTGGCGCCGCAAGCCGGAGATGATGTTGGAGCTCATTGAGGAACTGGCCGCTGGAACGACGTACCCCGGCGAGGACTTGGTTCCCAGTGAACTCGGTCTTCCTTATACTTCGGCCCTGGAAGTTGAAAGGTTTGAGGCCTCCGGATTGTTGTAAACATATAGTTGACCGGTACAGCACCTACACAAGCAAGAGTTGTTGGGCAGACGTTCATTTCTAGCTTTTTGAGCCACGTTTCAGCAAGCTTTGTGGAGATTTCTTGGATGCCCTTGTGGTCCCTTCGTGCTTTTGGTGGAAGGCCGAGGCCTTGACATGTGAAGCCAAGAAGTGTCGAGACCCGGGGATGTAAGAACGCAATTGCACAGGAAGAACCAGTGTAGGCTTGCAGGGAAGGGAGGGTGTCATGGATCATGAATCATCATGAATCAATACCTGGTGGCAGCAGTACATGACTCTCGGCAGCCCAGGACGGTCAGCACTGGGCAGTTCCGCAGCAAGGGCCGCGGCAAGGGGATGGTCCTCATGCAGAAAGGGCGTGGCAAGGGTTCGTCGAAGACCCTAGGCGCCCGCCGCCAGGGCGGGGGTGGAGTGATGAGATGCCAAGTGGATGGCCGAGTGGCAAGTATTGACTATAGTCTTTGACTCGAGGTCTCGTGGATGTTTAAGTGGGCATGTTGGGAATCGTTACCTTGTTGGAAGAGAGGTGATGCCCTGTTTTGAGATGCTGATGCTGGAGTTTGAGTTTCCTTCGAGTATTTGGTGCATTTCTACCGATCTTGAGCCCGTGGACCTTCCCTTCCAAGCTCCAAAATGACTCGGTGGCCTGGTAGTGCCCGAGTGTTGGGGATTCAATTGACGAATCGTGATAGCACATGGCTCCTGGGAATGCATCTCTTCTTGAATGCCCCAGTAATACCCAGCGAGATTGTTGACGTAAAACTTGCTTGCAAGATCTGAATTCTGGGCCGTGGCCAGGCCGAGAGGAGTTGCCGGGTGTCGACCAGATCATCCGCCTGAGCCAGCAGGTGATGTCAGTGCACTCCACGCGCCACCCCTTGACGACCAACAAGAAAATTGCCTTGTTGATGAAGACACTCGAGCGGAAGGGACATGCGGGCAGAAGATGGTTTGTTGGGAGGTTCAGGGAGCGGACAGCTGTCGAATTTGTTTAAAGCCTGGTTTGAGATGGTTTGAGCCGCCAAACCTTTCTAATGTGGTTCATCATGGTTCCGCAACCCTACTAGTACAACACAGAGCTTACCGTGACCTTCCATATACTCGCTCAATAGATTTGATCATGAGACTTACAAGCCGGGTGATGCCTCTTGATCACCCATGCGAGCTATCCGTGGCTGGTGGGGACGTGTAGGCGTCACAACTGGTCCTTGTTTCAGGTTGAAGGGTGCTCGAAGATGCTCGAATGATATTTTGATCCTTTAGGATGGTATTGTGATGTATTGTGTGTGTAGATGTGCCAACGTATTATATATATATGTTTAAGACGCACACAGATGCACACATCTACACCTTTCGCATTTTTGTCATATACTGTATACTATATATATATATAAGACACATTTGCATTGTGCCATCATATAATACATACATATTAGTAAATCATGCTTGGGAAGCCGCGGTGATGGCCTCCACTAATCTTAGGATTTGGTCAGTGCTGCCAGAGTCGCACAAGAAGGAGCAAGTGGCTTCACGGCCTCCTGGTGTCAAAGACTGTCAATCTCATAGTCCACCAGGCTGGTGCCACAGGTGCCAAAGTCGCGACATCACTGTCTTACTCTTGTCACAAATAATTTGTCCTCCGTGGCACAAACGCAGCACACCCTTCCCTACCCCTCTCACTCTGTCGGTTTAGCTGGAGAGAGACCCGGAGAGTCCCAAGGTTCGCTGACTTGTTGCCGAACTTCTCAACAGAAGACCACCGCAAGAACGAGATCACGAACCTCATCGATGCCTTCTGGAAGATTCTGGGTGACGTAGGTGCACAGGGTGGGTGTGTAAACGTGACGTTGGGTGGTGGACAGTCTTTTTTCGATGCCCTCCTGTCATTCTTTGTTCACTTTAGGTTGGAGGCTATTAGTCAATATTAGTAACTCAAAAATGCTTGTTTTAATGTACGTTGGCTCATTCATTGTCATTTGCCAGTTACTTCACCGTGTGCGCAGAAATTTTTACTAGATGTCTCCCGGAGGTCGTTCGGACCGTCAGATGCTCTTGGTTGGTCCCTTGGTGGCGACGGGGGGGCCGAACTCTGAGAAGAAGCCCACGCAGTGCACAGAGTTCTTGAAGCTTTTCACCAGGCGGGACCTTTTCTTGCTTTTTCACCACGCTTGCGCGTGCTGCAAATGTCAGTGGGCTCAAAATTTTGGACATCAGATATTAGATATCCCTTACCGGGTTCCTTGATTTGGCAGATTCACCACTTTGGTCTCACAAATGCTGTTGCAAATGTATGTTGCAGGCGTTTGCCACCACCTCTGGCCGTTGAGCAGTTTTTCAAGGTCTTGGAGGAGTTCGAGGCCACGTCATCCTGCATTCAACCAAATCGACAGAATGGTGAATGGGTGTGGAATTCAGAGCCCTTCAACAGCGGCCGAGGTGTGCCAAGTAAGAAGTGGCACTGGTAAGATAGAGGCTGCCAAGGTGTTGAGATGGTTGTTACCTGCATAAGTGAACATCAAACTTGGCAATTCCGTGCATTTGTTTGCACTGTGGCCGTGATGGGTACCTTGTAGAGGAGGGATTTGGCGATCAGCCGATCAAAGCTAGGCCGCCACTCCTGCTTACCAGTTCATCCAGAGTGACATTTGCAAGTCCAGCAACGGCCGGCATGATGCTCGGCAAAATCTTGCACCAAAAGGATCCAAAAGGTCTTGCAGAATCCAATTGTACATTCAAAACATTGCAATGCATTCAAGATCCAATTGCCAGAATTCCAATGCAGAATCCAACGCGCAAAGGTTCCAAAAGCATTGGAACCTCATGGAACATTCACAGGATTTAATTCCAACACGCTGCATACCTACAGCAGAGTGCATGCCAAGCTGCCTTTTTTCTGGCTGGCAGCTAGCTTTTTCCTGCGCGTTAACCTGTCACCAGCCTGAGGACGAGCTCATGAAGAGTGTCTTCCAAAAGTACTTGCTGAAAGAAGACGAGGAACATGATCCGAAGATGATCGAGTCACCTTTGGTGATGTTTCTCTTGTTTCTCTTGTTTATCTTTTTTTCGCACTGACCCGAGTGTGAAACAAAGCATCGTAGCTTGACCAATTCAGGGAGCTTCGTAGCCTGGGGAAGCGAAATTGCCCATTTCTGAATCGATCGATACTGATCTTCACCAGTTTCAGCTGAAAACTACATAGGCCAAGCAATTTCAACAAGTACCATGATCAGAGCAAAATTTATGGGGCACTGTGGGCAGCTCAGTCACAGCGCCTGCCCAGGGCCCTGTGAAAGCGGCAGAGATGTTCAAGGTCTTGCTGAATGATGCCCGTTCAAGAGATGTCATCCAGAGCTCATTCGACATCCTCACTGACCATCTAGAAGGCGGGCCTCAGGCGGTGGTGACAGTGACAGGAATTGGCAGATTCTGCTTCTTCTTGTTCTTCTGGCTTTTCATTGCTTCTCTATGATTTCTCCTTTTTTTCTTGTTTCTTTTACAGAAGGCCTGGTTTTTTTTTGGTTTCTGTCTTTGTAGACAACTTTTCACAAATACAATCAACACCACAAAAAACACTTAATAATGTGCAGTAAACAACAAAAACTTCGAAAAATACACAAAAAACAACAACACCTTGGGAAAATCAATAACAACCTAGGAAAAACCTAAAAACAAAAAACATCTTGGGAAAAAGCAAAAAAACAATTCTCAGAGACTCTTGGCTGGACCCCCCCTTTCCTCAAGACTTCCCCAGAATTGCTTTTTTTGTGCTTTCCCAATGTTTTTTTGTTTTTTGTTTTTTCCTAGATTGCTATTGGTTTTCTCAAGGTTTTGTTTGGTTTTGTTTCCCTATTTAGATCAATCTGTGTTATTACTATTTCGTTCAACCTTCAAGCATGTGAGCCTAAGTCTCACCTAAAGGCATATGTTCTTTGCTCTTACAATGCATTAACTTCTGATTGGTATCAATGTGGTTGCCAATTGCATGTCCAATCAGCTTGACATGAAACTGTAATGACACCTTCCAATTCACATGAAACTGTTATGAATCTGTGTAAGCTGTAGTTCTAATTCAATGCTTGTTGCTTTTGCTTCGGCTTTGTAATTTCGCAGCCTCCTCGACTTGTGCATTTTGTAGCTCAAGCGTTTTACATCTTATTCTGGCGAACTTCTAATTCCTGTTTTTCTTTTGCTCTTGGTTTTTTATTAAAACAATTAACTTTCCTGCTTCTTGTAAACTTGTGGCGTATTGTTTTCCTGCCGTTCTTTTTGGGATCAGTATATATAGTTGCCCTTTCTATACCTTTCCCGTTGCTTGTGTTCTGCTCTACTGGTTGTTGTGTTTTGTTTCACCCTAAGGCGAAGTGCATCATATGAACAGAACTCTTTCATTCCTTTACTCCCTTCTCGATTGTGATACGCTTGTCTCATGTTTGTTCGCCCTGCGGCCGGAGTTTTTGTTTTTGCCGCAGACAGGCCCTAGATGCCGTGAAATAGTCATGGACATGGTCCTGGACACTTATTTCTTTCGCAAGCAGCTAGCTTTCCACTCCCACCCAGGAGGAACTATAGAGAACCCACGACCGCACAAAAAATCCTTAAATGAAACCGCACCCTTTGTACAATTCCCATTTGAAGCGGAGCTATGCGTAGATTTTGTCACCCACCAAACATCATGCCATCTGCCTCATGAAGTCGTCAACCGAGTCATGGCCGCTGGTAGGTCACACAGAGCTGGGGCTCTTGCACACGGTGGTGCAGCGCATGGGCAACTTGGCATGTTCGGACCATGGGTGCAAGGCACACCAAGTGCACCATTTGACCTGTGACTTGGTGCGTTTGACCAGCAGGACTCACACCTAGAGTGGCAATTCCCCTTTCAAACTTACAGCACATGATAGTGTTTCCTTCCAAGCCTTGAATTTTTTGGGAGCTTAAAGGCTCCTCAGTGGAGCGTTTTCGAGGCGACGTTGGACCATGGATTCCGCTCAGCAGCTTCCTTCTCCATGATTTCCGCTAAGTCCATTCCAACTGTGCTGTTTGGGCGTGTCCCGCAAAATCCACGTCTCCTTTGGCAGATCCGGGTCCCAAGGCGATCTGGAGAAGCAGAGCCGGAAGAAGGGCACTCGTGAGATCACCCCAGAGGCCTGCGCCGAGAGAGAGAGAGAGAGAGGACGCATGCGTGGACCATCCAAGAAGTGGGATGAGAGTGGTCATGTGTTTGAAATGCTCCATGGAGCGCACGATCCAAAAAAGACGGTTCTGTTACTACTCGTAGTAGCTTCTTGTTACCAATGGCAATGGCCCCTAACCTACTAGCAATGGCCTCCAACCTAGTTACTAGTAGCGATGCGCTTGTTACTAGTAGCTTCTCGCTACTAGTAAGGTTTAAGGAACTTGACCATTTCGAGCCTTCTGGTCCGTGAAGTTGCGCCTGCTCGGCACTCAGAGCTGGGCTGGCTTTGTCAGACAATGTCGTGCTTCCCAAGCGTTCAGCTTGACTGCCGGATATGAGTCTTGAGTCATTGGAGTAGCCAGGGGTGGGTTGGGTCGGACGCACTGCGATGTCAGGAGACATTGGCAGTGCCCATCGAGTGGCTCCAGTTTGTGGAGCTGCCTGAAGAGGACAAGGGCAAGGGTGTGGCTCCTCACATCCACTTCCTCCTGATGGCGCCTCGTCCAATTCCCCATGGTCACCTGAGCGAGCACTAGATACGCCGTTGCATCATTGTCAGTTCACAATGCAGAGAACCTCACCGAAGGTCACCGAAATGCTCCCCGAGGTCTTGCACACCGGCCTTGGTGAGACAAACTTGTTGGGCTCGATGCTGCAAAAGTTTGGCAAGGCCTTTTTTTGGGATTGCTTCGGCCACGTCCTGTCAGCCGTGCAGGGCAAACTCTTGCCAGGGGAATCTTGGTGGAAAAGCAAGACGGGCCAAGGGAGTTTGCTCGGCTTGGTGCCCTGTTGATTGGCCGGTTGCAGCGTTTGGGGTCGGCTAGGCGCACTTTGAGGGAAAGGAAAAGATTGGTTGCTTGCTTTGTGTTGCATGAGATTTGGGTTCCAGAATCCAGTGATCTTCCCGGCCAGTTTGGACACATCACAGCAGTCCGTCACCTGCTGCGATGCGGCAAAAGGTCAGCCCCCAACCACTTCAAGTTGCCCTATCATCCTGCCAGTTTAGGGAGGGAGTTGCTGAGAGTTTATCCGGTCCTGAGGCTGTCCCAGCGCCGGCCTTGCATGCTCTGGCGAACCTGAACGTGAAGGTCATGCAGGTGAACTCGCCTGCCTACTTGTCTCGGGGGTGGAAGACCTGGAACGATCTAAAGATGTCCCTTTGGATCATCGTGCTAAGAACTAGGTGAGTTTTGCACATGTTGGTTGGGCTTCTATGGCACACGTCACCAATGTAGGCCGTTCACCACTCCAGAAGGGTTTGGAAGACACTTCGGGTTAGGTTTGTGCTCTGTCACATCATGTCACATCACAGTCATCCTCAAGCAGATGGAGTCCATGCAGAATATGCATGCCCCAACATCGATCTACTCGGCGCACAAAAGGCCGCTAAAACCTGGAGGGTTTCCCTAGGTTTCTCTACTTACTGTAACCCTCTTGTGTATGCAAGGACGCTATTAGGTGGAGGCCATCTCAAGCAGGTTGGAGGCCATTGCTAGTCACCAGAAGCTACTCCATATTTTGCCATCTCTTCCTCTCGTCCAGTGGACACCATGCGGAGGAAGCGGACCTCAAGCTGAAGGGCGTCACTGGGTCGACCGGAGGAAGCGGCCGGCGACCCTCGAAGGGCTCCTTCGGCGTGGGCTCCGTGATCTACGGAGTGGATGGCTGCTCGGGAGCATGCGGAGGCAGTGGGCTACACCCAGTAGTAACAGGTGCCTTACTAGTAGTAACAAGAAGCTATTAGAAACAAGTGCCACGCTAGTAGTAACAGGTGCCTTACTAGTTTCAGCCAAAGAGCCTCCACCAAAAAGAGGTAATTGTGTTAGGTGTCTTCATTCTTTGCATGTGTGTATATATATAATACTTCACTTGGCGGACACTACAGCACTGAGACTCTTTTCTGGCTTGTGGAAGATATGGGGCTTGATGGACCTTCGTGATTTTGAGGCACCAAGTGGGGCACGGTGGTGGCAGCCGAGGGCGGAGTGCAACTGGCCTGAATTTGGCCGCCGCATATGCCTGCATCACGACATAAAGGGGTGATACCATCACCATAGGACAACAGGCAGCAATGAAGCATGCTTGCCGCTGCAACTTGAGGTGGAAATTGGACTCTGGCCGCATTGCCAAGAAGCATACTGAAGGTGACAAATGGACATGGGCTGGTGGTGCCACAACCAAAGGTGATGAAGGCGCATGCAAATACTTCCAGAGTGTGGCAGATATGAAGAAAAAGGCCAATGTGAAAGATCTCAGCAACTTGGCTTGCAGATTGCCCTGACCAAAAGCACTAGAATGGCAGTTTTTTGATGTTTTTTTGACAGTTCTTTTCTGGGTATCTAGCTAGCTGTTTTGGCCTAGGCCCCCCGGACACTGGAACTCTAATGTTTTCTGATTGTCGCGGCTAAGGTGCAAGGCTCACAGGCCTGGCCAAACCAAACGACATACATTGGAATGCCGTGCTTTACTTCAGGAAGTTCATTTCGCTTGGCCAGTGTGGGACAATCAATCATTTGTAGAGAATCCGCATGCTGTAGCGCCTTGAACATAAGGACAATCATGGAAAATCGACTGCGTGAAATGACATAAAGACGATACATAAGCACCGTACAAGTGCGTTGTTGGATTCTTAGACCAGGTTTTCACTTTGGAACCTGTAAGAAGAACACCTATGTCCTGGTGGTGTATTGCCCAGTCGTTGGTGCCCTGGAACTCTCTGGAAATAGTGAGCAGGACGTTTCCTTTGATTGAGGGACTTTTGCGATCTTTTGTCAAGGAAAGCATGTCACATGTCAGGCTATTCTGATCTCATGGCCCTTGCCGGGAAGGCACGATGGCTTAGATGTTGAGCACTTGTCACGAACAGGTCAGAAAATACAACTGGCACTCTTTGGTCTGAAAAAGGCCAGCATCCCCCAACCTGACTGTGCAACGTGCGCCAGCCCCCAAGATCAAGCTGACCTGACGACGGCGTAGGAGAAGGATGCAGCGAAAGCTTTCGACGATTTGCTGCCATTCCTGCTCTCCCGCTTTAATGCAGAGCAAGAGGGTGGTCGATCGCACATCCTGTCTGAGCTCTTTGCGAACAAAAAACTGCCAGATGATCTTTGGGAGGACTGGATAGTGGTCACTGCTGCCTAAGAAAGCTGGTAGCCTTCTTAGCATCTATATAAATGGACCAGCTTGGGGTGGTCCTTCCCGTACTGGTTCTACTCGCCGGCAAAGTGCCTTTTTGTTTCCAAGCTGTTCTAGTTGACCCACATGAGCAATCCCACCATGTCAGTGCCAGGAAAAGTTGGAACACCTGAAGAACTTCTGGAAGGTTAGTAGCAAAGCACGGGAGAGTGCCAGCTTCTGGGCGGAGTTTTCGTAGGCCGGTTTCAGGAGCCGGTAATGTGGGAACACAAGGAGCGGTCCGGTTTCCAGTCCCATTTGGCATAAGCAAGAATCTTCACAAGAAGCGGTCAGGTGCCAATGGTTGCTTAGAGAACGCCAGACATGTCATGTCAACACCATCATGACCGCCTGGCCATATTTGGCCCATCGTCATCATCATCATCATCATCATCATCGATGTCTTTGGATTTCCTTCAGCCCATCATTTGAGAGTTGAAGCTTTGGAGCTTCCTGACGGGGATGCCCAGCTTGATGCGGGTTCTCGTATGAGGGCAGAGGGGCAGGGCAAACGGCGCGACATTGTATGATTTGTATGTCACTTGAAAATGCGGCCATTTTGAGGCCTTGCAAGTGAGAGTGCTGATTCTCATGTGGCCTAACTCGACTTTCATGCGATTGGAGTGAGGCTACCAGTGCAGTTGGAACAAGTGCGGTCGTCATCTTGTCGAGAAGACGCTGGAGAACTGGGGGAAGCCCATCAAGGACGGATCGAGTGGAGTGTTGGCGCGTCCCGTGGGTCTAGTCTCAACCAGAGCTGGAAACACAAGCCTCGGGCCCTTGGCTGATAGACGAGCGAAAGAACACACTGGAAATCCACTGACCACGCCCTCTCAGATGATTGGTGATAAACTCCTCGAACGCGCGGCTGCCAGATGCAAATTCCACAAAGGGCCTATTTGCCCCTAGGCCGAGAATTCATTTCAAGTGATGGCTGCTTCTCCCAGTGTCTAGACTTCAGGAAGCAGGTGCTCTGATAACGTGGCCCGCCAGGACGGCGAGCCAGCGCCGGAGTACCCCACTGAGTCTTGTTTGTTCGGCTTGGAGGTGAGCCCAGAGCTTGACTTGCCAGAGCTCTTGGTGTTGCTCGGCCGCCGGGGGAAGGCTTTTGGTGTGCTTTTTTTGGCTTTGGCCGTGGTGTATGGAACAGGGAGTAGTCATGGTTTGTCCATAGCCTCATCCGATCGAGAAGGGGTCGACAAGGAGGATAGGCAGAGAATGCTGGAATTATAAATTATAGGCATGCAGCGCACGATGTTCGATATGGGAAAGCAGTGAAAAGAAAAACTGACGCCCAAGCGGAAAACCGTGAAGAATATTGGGACACATAAGAACAGCAGGAAGACGTCAACTGGAGAAACCTCCAGAACACACATTTGACAGGAGTTTGCAGAAAGAAACCGAAAAGTATCGAAGAGTGAAGACATGCAACAACAGATATTCGTGGAGAAGCGCAGACTTGCTGCACGTAGGCCTTTGTGCGCTCTTTTTTTCTCTCTCGTCTGGGCAGATTCAACCAAAAGTGGTCCCAGTGCTGCTTTCGCCTCAGCGCATCGTCTTGAGGAAGTGCCATCACAAGATCGAGACACTCAAGGCTGGGCGTAGCGACAATACTAAACGCATCATCTATATAAAAACTAAATGCCGGCAGATTCGGAAGATTGTTCCTAATAGCTTCT